ATATATATATATATATATATATATATATATATATATATATATATATAAAATAAATGAAATAAAAATCATTTATTTCGACAACGACCCATATCAAAATAAATTACCTACATTGAAATTGAAATACTTAAAAAAGTCAATTTAGTAGTTTATGTGACTATTGTATAACGAAAGACAAAAAAAATTTAAATGTGGGTTTCATAAAAACATGACACGAGTGTTTTATTGCCTCATTACGTACGGTTATATACATTGCTTTGTTTATACATATACATATTAGGGGTTAAAGTATGAAATTGCCCTTTTATTGCAATAGGTTCTTTGAATTTTTATAGAATCTTCATGGTTTGAGGTTTTCGAATGAAACTTTTTTCAAATGGTTTCTGTGATTTTTTTTTTTTTAATTTTTTGAATATCGACTTTCAATTGTTTTTGTTATTCAATTTAGACAAGAAAGATGGATACTGCGAAAATTCGAGTGATTTTTGAATACGAGTTCCGACGCGGAACTAACGCGGCAGAAACAGTGACATAAACATGTGATGAAAAGTGGATTCTTTATGATAACCGGAAAAGAAAAATGCAATGGCTGACCCCAGGTCAAATGCCACAACAGTGTCCTAAAGCAAAACTTACCAATAAAAAGGTAATGGTAACTGTTTGGTGGTCTCAGCATGGTGTTATTCACTATAGTTTTCTCCGATCTGGTCAAGCAATAACGGCAGATGTCTATTGTGCCGAACTCCGAACCATGTTGACAAAACTAGCAGTAAAACAGCCCCGACTCATGAATCGATCTTCACCATTATTGCTCCACGACAACGCGAGACCTCACACAGCACGAGAAACCATTTTGACCCTTCAGGAACTGCAGTTAGAAACCATTCGTCATCCTCCGTATTCACCAGACCTTGCTCCAACGGACTACCATTTTTTTCGTGATTTGGACAATTATCTACGTGACAAGAAGTTTTCTTCCCAGGAGGCAGTACAAAATGCTTTCACACAGTTTGTGCAGTCTAGATCGTCGGAGTTCTATCGAAAAGGCATTAATAACCTTCCCATTAGATGGCAGCAATGTATAGATAATAATGGCAACTATTTTGATTAAATAAATTTGTTAAAAATTTAAAAAATAAACAATTTAGATTTTCAGTACAAATCGGCAATTTCATACTTTAACCCCTATTATTATAAGCTCTCTATGATGTGTTTAGGAACCGCAGGCAACCGACTAGCGAGTTACTCGAGTTAACTCGACTCGGTGTTTGACAAAGCAACCGCGAGTCGCGAGTAGAACTCGAACCGACGACTCACCGAGTTGGACACGACCGGCCGGCGACCGCGATTCGAACGTGACCGAAAGGCACCGAACCGACCGAGCTAGCTCGATTTCACAAAGTGTAATGAAGTATTCGGTTCGGCGGCGGGCGGAGCGGATCAACCAAGTTAGCTCGAGTTCATGAAAAAGTAACTCGAGTTGAATCGTTATAGAAGTAACTCTAACTCGAGTTAACCGAGTTAAATAACTCGAATCGCCCATCGCTAGTTACGACTGGCGAAATGCAAATATGAACTTTTTTCACGCATGTCACACAACCGTAGCTTTTTTTAATTCATAGACAAACTAGAGTCGGCCCCAAGTACCATATCGTTCGATATCAATTAACGTGTGAAATTTGTCAAAATTGCTTGCTATTGATATTTCGTTTCGAATAAAACTTCATCTCGACTGATATTAGAATTGAGGTCCAATCAAACTGTTTTGTTTTTCAGAGATGTTCGAAATTTGAAAGTAATAATAACATCGAATTTGATGTTATTATGAAGCAATAATAACATTTTCACAGATAAGAAATTTGTTCTAACAGAAACAGTTTATCTTTATGCTGGTCGTAATTTACGGTTTTTTAATACATCATAGAGGGTTTATGATATATTTGTAGATAAAAAAGTTATAAAAATTAAGGAAAATAAAATAAATAAAATTGAAATAAAATTAAATAAAAGCAAACATTAAAAAAAAACAAGTACAAACAATAAAATAACTGTACTTTATGAGTTTATTGATGTTTATATCAAAAACAGTGGGTTCAGTAGTTTAATAGTGAGACTGAGTTTCTGACGAACCTTAGTTCAAACCATAGATATAGAAAAAAACGGGAGATTTGGTATGAGGGCGTGGTTCGTGTCGCCTCGATACGTCTAAAATGCGTTAATCGAGATGACACGCCTTCAAACATCGCTACAATGACATGGCGATCGTTGTACATATGTACTAGATCTCTCGTAAAACGTGAAAATGACAGATTGTAGCGATATATACCTTGTAAAAATTGAAGGGAAAACAAAAATTTAAAAACCAGTGGGATAACATTCCACCGGCTATTTGCATTTTTAGTTACTATTTCTATTATTATTCAATGTTTTCTTTTTGTCTCCAGAGACATTTCTAGACTCAAATTATAGTGATGTTCATTTATGATGGTTGAATGTTTGTCTACAATTAATTTTTACCGGAATGTATTTCGGTGTAATTTACATTTCTTAGTATGATTTTTGTAGTTAAAATCCTTAAAATGTCGAAGCGAAAAGCATCCACGTTAAATTGATTTCTTTTATATTTTTTATTATTATTCTTATTATTAAACATTTAATTTCGAGTAACTATTAACACAACTCATATATCGGACATACGTTTCAATTTCATGTCAATTTGTATGTTGCTGTTGCCCGAAGAAAAACGTATACGAATTATTGTTTTAGATAATTTAGATATTCAAATTCCATTATATTTGAAGATAAAATGTAGACCGTTTTTAATGTTTTAATTTTCCCAATGAGTTCAAAATAAAAGATGGTTGGATTGAAGCTGCAAGAAAGTACTTAATAATTATTAATACAAAGATCGAACACTCAGAAAAAATTCCTTCGATCCGGTCGGATTCGAACCGACGTCTTCTTGCATACCATGCCAGACGCTATACCAACTAAGCCACGGAACGAACCAACGGACCTC